TCTCTCTCACTCGCTCTCTCCTTTTTTTGCCACATGTTGTGCACGTTCCTTCAGCCCTTGACATTTACATCTATCTTCTAGATGGTTGGACTACTGGCTCCCCAGTTTAGTTAGAACTTTGCCAAGTAGCTTGGAAGAGGGGACCCACTTTATATTCTGGAGCCAACTTCATGCCCACTGACCAGAGATCCATCTCTGCCACTAGGTGAAGGTACTGGCACTCTGCCCACTTGACCCCTGATCCTACTTATTGATGCAAACACTTTAAAAATGGATGGCTAAACAACAGAGGATGAAAAATTCAGGATGCTCAAAAATGCTAATGACTACCAGGAAAAAGGCAGCTTGTGCTTACAGACAGTGCCTTGGAAATTCTCAACACTTCCCTTCTTGTCTTTGCTCCCTCCCTCCCACCAATGTGCACACACAGGCTAAGAGGGACTGGCATCAAGAAGGTCCTGGCTTACTTCATAAGGAGAAGTCATTGTCCATCAAGGGTTCAAATACAGACTCAATAGAAAAAAAGGGACACTTTTTCTTCCCAAGGTTAAGCACAGTGCCATTTGGAACAAGGAATCTCAGTGGAGAGTAGGACTTAAGTTTCTTTTTGGAGGCTGTCTAGGAACATCCAGCACTGTGACTGAAGCCCACTGCATAGTCCTGAATAAGGCACATCCTCTCAGTCTCTTTGGAAGGCATTCCTGGTCTCTGCCATCATGGCTGTCACCTGGGTTTCTAACCCTGTCCTTGCCCCTGAGCTACAGTGCCAGGTCTCTCAGTGGCCCCAAGCCAATGCTTCTTGGGGTGTTCATTAAACTTTCCACAGTGAATTAATCATCTTACTTCCCTTGCTGGTTTTTCTGCTCATTTCTCCTGTTTCTGTTAATGGTACCATCATTTTCTTGGGCCATTCTTTCCACACTGCTCAAAAAAGGTGTGAGGGGTGCCTGGGTGGCTCAGTTGGTTAAGCAACTGCCGTCGGCCCAGGTCATGATCCTGGAGTCCCGGGATCGAGTCCCGCATCGGGCTCCCTGCTTGGCGAGGAGCCTGCTTCTCCCTCTGAGCCTCCCCCCTCTCATGCTCTCTCTCTCTATCTCATTCTCTCTCTCAAATAAATAAATAAAATCTTAAAAAAAAAAATTAAGACTGCTATCCAACTTAAAAAAAAAAAAAAAGGTGTGATTTATTGCTTTAGGTGAAATGCTTCCGTAAGAGTAATGGCAGGCGAATTCCCAATATCCATTCATTTCTTCTTTCACAGTAATAGGATTTTCACTTGAGTTGTCCAAGATCAAGACTCCATTTCTTTTAGATTTTCATTTAGATTCCTTTGCCCCTGGGTGTGGACATACTAAGTTCTGGCCAAACGGCTGTGCAACTTCTAGCTCATACCCTTGAAGGGAAGGAGTATGATTTCCTTCTATCCCTTCCTCCATCCTGCTGCGTAGACCATGGAGGAAGTGGAGCAAGCCAGCTGGGAGAACACCAACAAGGACAACACTATAAGGATGGAGAGGAAAAACCTTGTCTTAGACACGTTGCCATATAAGCCTTGGGCTCTCACGTGTGTGAACTATTACAGGAGAGAGAAATCAATGTCTTCTTTAAGTTCTAATTATTTTTGGTCTCTGTTAGAACACTTGACATTTATCCCAATGAAAACAGCCACCAGAGCGGCCCGGTGGCCCCTAAGCTCTGCCTCAGGGTTACCAGGCATTCCTGGTAACTCTGGCAGAGACCAGGAATGCCTGGTAACTCTGAGGATCCTACCTTGTAAGATTGGGCTCTGATTTGGAGGCAGAATTTGGAAGCCAACAATAGTGGCAACTGGGGGGGGCGGGGGGCGGGGTTGATGGGAACTCCTACCATGTTCATTGGAAATACAGGGGCTCAAAATCTGTGTCATGTTTACTTCTTCTCCTGCCTTCTATAGTCACCCAGATTGTCACACACTGAGTCTTGCCTTTTCTCACAGAAGAGTGTCTCTTGCATCACCCGCTCCTTCTTGCCTCCAGATCCTCAGGGCTTCGGGTCTATGTGACATTAAGAGCTTCCTAGAACCTTTCTCTGCCTTTCTTCTTTCTATGCTCCTATCCCTTCTATATTTTGATATTAGATGAATCTTTGTAAAATAGTTATTCCAATATCTTGATTTCCCTTCACGGATCTCTAATGACCCCTATATTATTGATAACTTTATCTGACCTCACCGGCCGTCTCTCCCTTAAGTGAACTTACCTTGTCTACTGAGTTAGTCATGCTTTCCTCAGAAACCTGTTAGTTCTGTTCCTTCACATCTTTGCTCTTAGGGCCTACTGACTGTGGTGACTTTTCCTTTTGCTTTTCCTCTCCAAAGCTGGCCCAGTCCCCACAGCGAGAAGGCCAAGCCTGTGCCTGCTCACTCTGACCTCTGCGTTGTCTGAAGTTCCCACGGCACCTGCAGCTGGTCATTTAGTCATTCTTGGTATGATGTGTCTCTTACTAATTCCACTAGTTCATAGAATTGTTAGCACTTTGAGGTTGTCAATGATTCAGATGTGTTTTACCCCAGCTGGAATATATATTCAAATAGTGCTAATCAGAACCCCCTTTTTATTATATGCCCTCCCCCTTCTACTGCTTTGATCATATTAGAACAAAACTCAAAGTCAAACTCCACTGGGGGCAACCAAGCGCCCCAGGATTTATAATAGTGTTCCTTGCACAGCATGCTTTACACCTTCACTTTCAGGCAGTCTGAGGGCCCCCCTGTACCCTTTGAAGTAAATCACAACCCTCACTTCCTGTTTGGAGTTTGGGGGAGAACAGTGATGTTAAAACCCACTGTGCAGAAAGCAAGGAGGAGGGTGACCCAGCCAAGATCACAGGATCCTGAGTTTTGCCCTTGAGGTGAGTCAACAGTGACAGATGACTGTCTATCCTTGGCCACCATGTGCCAGAACCAGAATCCCTCTGTCATAAGAAGCCATCCAGGGAAGACCACATTGGCAATCTGGATGATTTCGCTTTATAAAGGTGGATTTCTTTCTCTAGAAGAGCCTGGATAAACTCAGAGATGACTCCTAATTCCAACACAATGACAAGCATGTTGTGGGAGCATAATAAATGCTTATAGGCTGTCTGACCACTGAATGAATGGCCACCTGAACTTTTGCGGTGGAATGAAGCTCTGATCCCAGAGATAAAATCATCCGCAACTTTCTCTTTTCCTTGTCATATTGCTTCCTAAAGCCTTTCTCTAATTTCTAGCTAGCCTGGTTTTCATTTCCTGCCTACTTTTTGCTTCTGCCTGCTTTGTTTCTTGTGCGTTTTACTATAGCGACCATATGGTAGAGCAAGCTACTGTGGTGCCTTCAAAAATACTAAGGCTTTCTAGTGCGCTGAGGTTTTTATTATCTATCTATCTATCTATCTATCTATCTATCTATCTATCTATCTACTTGCAAGAGGTAGTGGACTTCAAAGGTTTGGTCTAGCATCTAAAAGTGGGGTGGAGGGGCACCTGGGTGGCTCAGTCAGTTGGGCGTCTGCCTTCAGCTCAGGTCATGATCCTGGGGTCCTGGGATCGAGCCCCACATCGGGCTCCCTGCTCCGCGGGAGGCCTGCTTCTCCTTCTCCCTCAGCCTGCCGCTCCCCTTGCTTGTGCTCTCTCTCTCTCTGTCAAATGAATAAATAAAAATCTTAAAAAAAAAATAAAAGTGGGGTGGAAATAATGGGCATTCAGATGCTTTGGGCAATTGGAAAACTCCTTTAACCTAGCAAGATGTCGGTGGTGTGGTAAAATCTGTGTTTAGAAAAAGAACGTAGGTATCTTAGTAATTTAGCATTTATTTTGTCGATGGTAGCAGGTGTTTGCTTTGAAGCTTAGCACTAATACCAGGTAAGGGTGAGTCATAATGTCAATACTTTTTTTTTTAACTTTGGTAATTTTTTTCAGTGGAAGGAGCTTCTCAGTCAGTTACCGCTCTGCTGATTATCTGACTGAGCAGAGAGTCCGACAGCAGCAGGGGCTGGGAGTGTGGCTGGGAGCAGGTTGGGGTGTAGAGTGCAGTGCGGGGCCCACTATGGGGGCGGGGGAACCTTGACTGGTCAAAGTGCCTGCAGGGCTGTCACCATGATTTAAAGCTCTGAGAAAATAAATTAGCAGGAGGTAGGCTGAGGGTGGATGGTGTCATTCTGGCCCTGAAAGGCCTTCATAAATCAGTGACAATGGAGCCCCAGCCAACTCCCTTCCAGATGGTTTCCGGAGGCCCTCCTTCCCACTCTGCTCAGACAAGTGGAAAGAAGTGATTCTTGAGTGGGTGGGATATTGGCCTGCCCTCCCCCTAGCTGCGAGATCTGAGCACTTGGGTTTTCACTGGAGCTGCAGGCTTTGCTCCCTGACGGTGAAACCTCAGGATCCTTGCTCCAGGGGCGGGACTCCGATTCTGGTCGTGGGACGGATCTGCCTTTGACAGTGGTGGTGAGGGGGGAGGCTTTCTGTCCTACTGGATAAACACAATGGAGCTCTCTCCGAACAAGAATGGTTTGTTCCTTCCTTCTACCCTTTGTGCTTTGTTAACAGAACGTCCCTGGCGCATCTGTGCTCCAGCGTGCTGCCAAAAGCTTAGCTCTGTCCTTGCACAAGACTGGGGGACACTGTCAGAAGATCAGCTGTAAGTCCCTCATCTAAAGGCAGATGGAGGAGCTAAAACCCTGCCAAGATCCCCAGGATGTTTCCAGTTTTAAGGTCTGAACTCGTTTCCCACAGACGTGTTCCCACCTCCACACCAGCCCATCAACTCCTCCCTCTAGCTACGGTGGAGATCTGGGGTTCGGGGTGTCTTTAGTGACCCTTTGTAAAGCAAGAGCACCCAGCCATCGACACCAGGTGCCAGGTATTTCTCTTTAGTCTCTTCAGTTCTGTGCTCCAGCAGGCTTTATATTTTACGGAAGAACCAAGAGTCACACCGAGGTCAGCTGTCGCCATCTTTGCCCCGTGCCCCCCCGAACTGACTCACCTCTCCTGTGAAGCGAGTAGACACAACGTCATCTTGTCATCTCCGTCATCTTGTAGCAGAGAGTGGGAAGTATGCCCTGGAAGCGTCTCCTAAGAACTGAGGACAAGATTCAGATGTCTCTCTGCACCTCGGCCAATCTGCTTTCGTCTCTCCCCTCGAACACCAAATTTTTTACACACCATGAAAGGTAATTTACTAAGGCAGTTGGCCGAGCCTACACTTCCTGAGCTTGTGCCCTTTGTCTCTGCCCGCTGCTCAGCTCAGGGAGCGAGGGAATGTCTTCACGGTGCAGGGGCAGAATATCCACTTCCGGTTCAGGGCAGAATGTCCACTTCCGGTTCAGGGCAGAATGTCCACTTCCGGGAGGGAAGTGTGTGGGGCTCCCTCTTTCCTGTGGCCAGGCACGAACCACCTTAACTCTGGGACTCACAAATGCTTTGTTGTTTGTTTGCTTGTTTGTTACCGGGGATATAAGAAGGAGCAATAAACAGACCGAGTACCTGGAAATACTACTAGTGCGCACACACAGGAGGGCGGAATTATTTGTTCTTTAAGCATATGCTCTGTCTCCCGCAGGGCTTTTGCTTTATGTATCTACCCTGGCTCTTGCTGTTTTCTGGCTGTGTGACCTCGTACAAATGACTTTACATCTCTGCGCCCCATCTTCCACAGCTGATAACAATAATTAATTAATAAAAATGAACAAATTAATAAAAATTGGTTAACAAATTAATAAAAATAATATTATCTCAATATGGCTGTTGATGAGATCATAACCGTGGAGCTCTTAGAACAGTGCTTGGCACGCAGGAAGGGCTCAAACCTGGTAACATTTGCTGTATGTCTCTGTATGGCTTTTATTATTGTTTTTACTTTTAGTCAAGCATCAGCTCTCGTTTCTTGTGTTTTCTTTGTATTTTGAATTCAGGCCATGTGACTACAAGCTACCCGCCTTTGAGATTTCTCAAGCTGAAAGATCATTTGCATTTTAGGGACACCTCTCAGCATTCCTTTGGGAAACGGCCGTTGTGCGTTGCTCCCCTCCTTCCCCGGGGCTCCAGAAGGAGGACATAGCCCAAGCACAGCGCGGTCTCCAGCATGGCTGCCGCGATCTGCTTTCTTTGTGAAGCGTCCGTTGCTGCTCGCGTTGCCATCCCAACGTCCTGTGTGTGCTCTCGGCGGGGCCAGCAGGGGGAGCTCCGCGGCCGTTTCCCAGCCCCGCGCGGGGCTTTGTGGCTGGCACGGGCTTCTCCCACGGAGTCCTAAGGACCGAACCTGTGGATCTTGACGTTGGGAAGATAGGAACCGTCCTTGGCATGGAGATGCACTGTGCACTTATGCAAATAGGAGTGTGCGAGACAGAAAGCTGTATATTATAGCTGCTGAGAGCTTTGCCGTCAGACATACCTGGAATGATGGGATTTCTTAGTTTTGTTACCTCGTGCAACTGGCTTAACCTCCCTTAGTGACGGTTTCTTTCCGGGTAAACATGGAGAACCCCACCTGCCCTCATGGGGCTGCTGGAAGAGTCACCATGTGGCTAACAGAGATCCTAGCCATAGGGGCTTTTAGGGGATGCTAGGTATCGTTACTCGGTGAACGCCGAGGAAATTTCGAAGCCCCCCAACCATGCGCAGGATCTTTTCTTCCTCCTTGCCCCACCACCTCCTTGTTCTCTCCTTCAGCTCCACTTTCTCCCCCTGCTCTTCACTGCCTGTATCTGAGGCCTGGGACCGACACCTGCGGCTGTGCCCGAGCCTCCTCCTGCTTGATCCCACAGGGCCAAGGGAGCTGGAGGAGAGGAGGAGCAAGCAGGGGGTTCTGAAGGCTGATGGAAACCCTGTCCTACTTCCCTTCACTTTTTAGGTGCATTCTACAAACCTCACTGGGGTCATGGTCACTTGGAAGGCAAAATGAACCACAAGCTTCTCACCAGACTCACCCTTATTCCATCCACCCTGCCAGGGATATGGGATGTCAGCAAGAATAAAGCCCCAGAAGATCCTTCTTTATGGCTCAATGCACAGAACTGGCAGTGCTGTGTGGACATCATCCTGGGTGGCGTCCATCCTTACCATACCTGGGTACCTGGGTAGGTGTGAGCAGGGCTTCTCCAGGGGACTGGGAGCCTGGTGGTGGTGGTGGCAACAAGGGGCGCAGCCCCAGCTGGGTCAGAGGAGGTCAGGCTTCTAAGGGTCCAGGCTCAGCTCGGCTTGGGGAAACCTTCAGGTCTGGGTTGACCCAGGTGGTTTGGTTTGGGGCCCATGTGGAAGTCTCCATGTGCCCTGTCCTCTGAATCTCAGATGAGGCCGGTATGTTCTGCAACTGGAGGACTGGTCTCCATGCTCTCTGTCTTCAGGGACAGGTTTCCTTTGTTTCCATCTGAAACTCTGGGTCTCTTAGTGGAGGGATAAAAGCCCTGTGAGTAGAATGACGAACTTGTTTTAGCCCTGAAAGTCCTGCGTCCCTGCGAAGCCCTTAGTCCTGGGTGGGGTTGGCCACTTTGTGGAATGTAGCACATAAGGCACTGATCTGAGGCGGGATATCTCTGCAGGAGAGCTCTATAGCCCTAGGGGCACCAGGGAAGACAAGAAAAAAGAACTGCCATTTCCTCCCACTGCCAGAATCGACGTTGGCCTGACTCAGGCATTTCTCGCAACACCTAATGAATGGGGGATCTGAGCCAAGCCACTGTCTTCCAGAATTCAGTGGTGAGAAGGGTCAAAGGTGGACTCAGTCCAAAGGAGGCCACCTCGGAATGGCCTCCTGCCTCCGTCCAGGAGCCCCCTGTGTGCCCCTCAGCCCTCGGGAGCCGGGCTCTGGAGCCTCGGCCGCGGGCCCAGAGGCAGGCTGCGGCAAGCTCTGCGGGAGAGCAGCTTGCGGACCTTTGCCTCTAATTGGCTTCCATCTCCGCACACAGCCATTTCCTCTGCCTGCGGCAGAACTCATAAAACGCCAGGCTTTCCTCCATACCTTTGAAAAAGTTCAAAGGAACCCATATCCTAGGGAGATCTGGCAGCTCAGGCACCTGGATCTGAGGGGACTGAGGACTCGGGGTGCCCCCCACCCCATGCTGCTTGTCAGTGTCAGTGTCCGGCGCTCCAGGGGAGGGGAGGCCCAGACCCACCAAGGCCAGCTCTGTTCTGTTTTATGGGATCAGGCTGTGCTCTTTAACCCTGCTCTGCTTGCAGCAGGAGCCCTCTTGCCACGGAGCAGGTCAGGAAACCGACGCCAAGCCCATCCTAGAGCGAGGGTGTGGTAAAGCCAAACTCAGCGCTGGTGAATCGGTCAGCCCTGCTCTGGCCAGAGGCTGCCTCCACGGTTTTGCTCCCATCATGCTTCTGCTCTGCCCTGGGGACCCTGTGTTCCCTGGGGGGCTGGAGCACACATGAGCTTATCCGAGCTCAAGGTGCGGATTGGGGGTAGGGTTTGCAGGCTCTCATGCATAGCTTTTTGGCATTGACCGAACCAGGTTCTTCCGCGGTATCCAAATTGATGATGTTTGTGCATAAATATCTTAGACACCGTCCTAGACTTCAGCCCAACAGGGTTTCTAGGGAAAAATGAAACAGCTCCGTGCTGTCTATCCCAATTGGTGGCACTTACAAGGTGCTCAAGAAATGCTTGCTGAATGGATGAATAAACTCTGCTTATGAACAGGAAACTGGTATCTCGAAGGGGAGCCTGGTTTAGTCACAGGTATCTAGAAAGAGGATGGGGCTGGACTGGAAGGTGAAATTTTCATTGCTTTCCTCCCCCACTGACCTTCACTCTTTTACTACCCATCAAACCAGCTGGTAGATAAATAAGATAAGCTTATTTGATTGCACTGATGTGTACAGCGGAAGGCTTGCCAGAACCTTCACCATTCCCCGATTCCTACTGTTGCCCCCTAGCCCTCGGCTGCAATCCCTCAAGGATCCAGTCACCTCAGGATGGCTCAGTTTGTCTGACACCCAGAGCCCGGGCCCTCTGGGTTTTCTTTTCCTCCGGTGTTTGACTGAGCCCCTCCTGTAGCCCCTGGGCTATTATGTGGCATCTGTAGCCATGTAATTCGGGGCCCGTTGGGCTGGAATGTCTGCCTGTTGCTTCGCATCTACAGCCTCTAGATCATTTTGGGTGGAGGTGAGAATTGAGCCCTCCCTTTCCCCAACACACACATAGTCACACACAGAGCACACACACATATTCACAAACACTACACATACACACAAATGTGCAAACACACTCATACACCCAGACACACTAACATCTACAGACTCCCCCCACCTGCTCCCCCTGCTTGAGGACTTGGGCTAAGAGAGAAGACAGGAAACTGTCATCTGCGTTTAATCACAACATTCTGTATAACAATGATTCTGTAGGATTTTTTTGATGTACGTCTGATTGAAATTGCTCTCAGTTTTACTGATAACGATAGTTCAATGCTATAAAAATAGATACACGGTTTTTATTGTTTGCAGCCTCTGAAACAGGCTCATCTGCTCCGTGTTGGAAGAGTTTGAGGCAGAATATCCCTGAAGGTTTTCTTGTGTTGTTAATTTGCTTCTCAAACTCATCTGCTCAATCCTGCTGGGGTACATGTCACCCCAGCTCCACCCAGGGTATGAATGTCAACGCTGAGTTCTGCATTAACGAGGTTTGAATTCAGTTTGTCTGGCAACAGTTCTGACTGTAATGTGTTTTGTGCAATGAGTCACCAAGTTCAGCATCTCCCCACAATGGGGGGCTCTGTGTGGGGCTGGCTTGCTCTCCCGACCAGCCTCGATCGCTTCTGAGTGCTGTGAGCTTGGAATTGCGGGGGCGCTCTGCCTCTGTGCTCCCAGCTGGGTGGGCAAAGTTGTGCCTGTCTTTCAGGACTCTTGTGACGAGTAAGTGAGAGATTTTAGCAAAACCTCTGACACAGGTCTCATCGTCTGCAGACATAACCCACCGGTGAATTAGATCTGATGGGCTGTGACCAGCGTTAAAAAAATAGACAGAATAGATACTGATTTTTCTTTGGGCTGATGAAAATGCAAAAAGTTCCAAAATTAGATTATGGAGATGGTTGTACAACTCTGGAAATATACTAAGGACTACTGAGCTGTACACTTGAAGTGGGTGAATTTTATGGTATGTAAATCATATCTCAATAAAGCTATTTGTAAAAAAAAAAAAAATTGGGAGCCCTAAAAAAAATCCACCAAGCTGCATGTTTGAGTTTGTGCACAACATTGTTATGGTATGTTAGACCTCCATTAAAAAGTAAATATAAAAAGTGGGCTAGAGAATATCAGGGTCCCTCCCATATAG